AGATGATCTCTAGAGGTCCCTTCCAATCTTAACCATTCTGTGATTCTGTGAAGACTGCTAACTATAGCAGCASTAGTATTGAGTAACTCTCATAGATCTCAAATAGACCCTACAAAACTTCATGGSCCTCACAATTTTAGAAAGATGCTTCCATTTTTCATAATTTTAGAGGTAATTTTGGATGAATCATGAGTCTTCCCAAAAGATACCCATTGTCAGCAATGCAAACTTGCTAGAAGTTGTACTAGAATACCTGTATTCCCCCATCTCCTTACAACTTCATTGATCAGGTGATTCACTGATTTTTTTCTATTATTGTAAAAATATAATTACTGTGGGATCAGGGGAGTTTTGGAGTATTTTGATCAATGAGTTTCAAACACCTAACTTGACACCACAGATACCTGTTAGGGTAGGTACCTGTAGGGTGCTTTTTCTTCCATAAAAATATTTCAGAGTACCTAAACTTGGTACTCCCAAACTCTCTCCAAATGTACCTTCTCGCCTTTGGCTAGAGAAGAAATTAACTTAAGCACCTAAACAAACATATCCCTCATCTGTCTGAATTACCTCTTGATGCATTGATTTTAGTAAGATTTGGTTTTAATTAGTCTCTCATAGACCTGATTATGTTAATATTATCACACAGATTTACTCTCTCTCAAAAATGTTGTGTGATGACACAGACCGTCTCACTTAAAACATTAACAAGCAGCAACTAATCCTGTTTTCCTCATTGAATACGTAGGTCCCACTTTGTCTTGGTTTTYAGAATTTTTGAGCCATTCCTTAGGGAATATCCAGTGTTCAGAAGCTCTTGCATGGTGCTCAGGGAACTGAGAGCATTCAACATCATTTGAAAGAGATCAGTGGGAAGTGAAGGGCCTTTCCCCATCCCTGGTCCTACCATTAGCACCCTCTCTAGTCTAGGACACATCAAGACTCAGGCTCCTTCCAGCATATGGGCTGTGGTATTTCCCTGTATGCTTTAGTCTGTGTCAAATGAGAGATAATTCAGATTACTGCAGTCTGCAAAAAAGAAGACCATGTTAAAGTAGTTCAGCTAATGTTTGCCACTGACCAAGAGCTCTTACATGGCTATGTCTGATGCCTTGCACTTAGAGGCAGGACAATATGTGTCTAAGTTCTTACACTCTTTAATACATTCTGTAGTARAGACGAATAACATTTAATCACCTTTCTCACAGAGATGACATAAAAAAATGACACTACCTTCATGCACTGCATTGAACATAGAAATGGTATTTTTGAAAATGCCAAGCATTCTGAGAAACAATGTCCTTTTTGCATGGGGATGTAGTAACTCATTGAGACAGCCATGCTGAAAACAAATGTTGGGAATTCTGGCTTTTTTTTTGTTTTTCAGTTTTCCAGTTGTTCTAGAAAACTCCTGGTACCTTCACCAGGATTTTGAGAACACACAGTCATGTTCACAAGGTTCATTTGCCATAATATTGCTACTGGTGACAATAGGCAATGAAAATCTGTGAAAAAGTAGATAATTGTGTACAGTGGAAGGCTGGAAAAAAAAAGAAAAAAAATCATACCATTGGTGCTTAAGGCAGATACAAGTGTTTATTTTAATCTCATATTCTGAATAAATTAGGTCTTGTGGAGAGAAATTAAGTAAGTGTCCTGCATCATACAGTCATACACCACACAGTCCTTGCACAGGGACGCTCTGTTCCTTGTCATTGYTTGTTTTGAAAATACTGTGCTTACCACTCTATTTTAGGATTTGCCCTTTGCAAATAATAGTAGATAGCAGTTCGGTGGGACTATGCCTCAGTTTAGGTTTTTTCTACTCCTTACRGTACCTAACTGTAGATTTTGCCCTTTGAAACCTTTTCCAAAATGATGTCCAGAATAATTTTAATTTTAGTTTTGTTTCCTTCTATATTTCCTGGGTTTACTGGGTATTCAAACAATCATATAAGGTACACTTTTCCTTTGAACTTTAGTTCAATTGGGAAGGAAAAAAAAGAAAAACAGTGATTGGTGATTTCCAGTAAATGGGCAACATGTTGCAGTATCAGAAGTTATGCCAGATAGTTTTGGAAAACAGAGCAAAAGGAACGTGATCCACAGCTATCCATACCTATCATATTCACAGGTAAGAAAAATCAGTGTTATTCCAGAGTCCTTTTCCTASCTAGAGCTGGAAATCTTGAGGTCATAGTATCCATACGTCGTTTTCATTCCTATGCATCTTGCACATAAATTAGCATGAGAATGAGGACTAGAAATAGGTAAAAATACAGATTTGGGGAGGAATTACATAAATTACAGTTAATTGTGTTACCATTGTAAATACTTCAAAAATAATAATATAGAGCTTTTAAACATGTATTCCATATTTATCTCAGTGTGAAATGAGATTAATACGGCTAAGGTGAATTATTTCATTATTTCCAGTTTGCACATAGGAAATGTAAGGAGAACACTGTGGCTGTTCACACTGTATCACACTGGATACTATGGAATGGAATCAAATTTTCCTCTGGTAGTATTTTTGTTGATTTACTTGCTTATCAAAGGAATCAGATTTTCTCAGAAGAGGACACTTCTATCAATAATCATGAATATTTTCAAAATAGAACTTAAAATCTTCCATTTATTTGAGTATCAAAGACCTATCTTTGTTTTCAGAAGAGTCTTGCTCCTGTCACTAGCCCACACTTCAGGATGTCAAAAATCAGGAATAACCACTGTCACACAAATAAGGTTCTAAATACACTCCCCATAAAACATCTTTTTGAACACCTTGCCTTGCATCTTTATATAGATATTCTGGAAATTTAATATATTACACATTTTGAGGCAGTCAGCTAGTATTAATGAAAGCCAGAGAAATACTGAAGATATATTTGTATCTATGTATATATAAAATCTTCATATTTCATAATAGYTTGAATTGCTGCTGAAGTGAGCCTACTTTGTATTTCTTAAAGCATCCCTAATGATGGGGATTTGTTGCTGTACTCATACAATATAGTGATGATCTATGGAAACAGGTAAGCAAGTAAGGAAAAAAATGGATAAATGCATGCCTTCTTCTAAAAGTAGATAAACAACTGGGGAATATTCATCTTGAATCTAATAGATTTAAGAAAGTACAGGCCAAGTAATAAATTTATTAAATTGTTGGTTAAACATAGATCTCACAGCTGAGTTCTAGGTACATCTGAAAATGCACATAGAGCTTTAGATGAGTAAACATTCCTTGCAACAGTGATATAGAGCTTGTGGATATTTAGTTAGGATTGTATTTGACCTTTAGACCATGTCCTGAATTTTCCCTCTTCTCAACGTCCTATATTATTTTTAACCCTGTTGACAGGACTCCTGGTCTTTATAAGCCACCTGACTCCACTCAGCCCACTCAGATTAAAGGTGCTTCTCCTTTGTGTCTAAGCTGACCAACCAAAGATGTTGTGTTCTTCACACATGGTCTTCATTACTGAAGCCTGCARTGAAGATCAATGAATATTATGTAAGGACATAAAAGTGGAAGGATATCAGAAGATARAAGTGTATGCAGATTCGCAGAGCATTTGAATTGCATCTCATGAAGTCAGATGTCACTGAAATAATAATTCGGTATTTTATATGTTTCCCTGTGGTGGCTGTGCTATTCCATAGCACTAACTGTTGAAGTATCAGTCACAAAGTCTGTAACATACAATTTAATAGAGGAGTTTGCCACCRAAGAAGTTGAGGTTCACACTGAATTTTTGCTAGCTTTGAGACCTGTTTATCCGTTGAGGACACAGAAATCTGTCCTTGAGAAAAGAACTGCCTTCCTCTTCCCACTGGAGCAGAGAGGAAATACAGCATGACTGTGCATCTGGGCTCATGCACAAGTGTGTAAATGAAACACAGGAAGCCTTACTCAAAGATGCTATTACTGGATTAAAATAATAATAATAAAAAAAATCAAGCAATAATACTGAGAAATAATGAGAAATAAAAGTTAGTCTGTCACCACCCTAAAATGCTTCTAAAAGTGCAATAGTACCATAAAAAAAAACCTTTATTTGCTACAAATAMTAAAACTGTAGCATGAAACTAATCAAATTCAAATCAGTTCTACTGTATAATTTTCAGTGAAGAGGTGCTTAGGAAATACAAAATGAACTCCAAAAGGGAAGGCTCATTGCTGCCTCATCAAAACCAGCCAGCTTTAAACACCAGCCAGTCAGGTGGYAAGTTTGTCATTTCTCAACTGCACTCCTAGAGGAAAGTTGTCAAGAAGGCTTGACAGCCTTTAAACTTCTCAGAGCATTTTTATCTGTTTATGAACCTCATGTTGATCTRCTGCTGGGAGGATGGGAGGAGAGGCACAGTAACAGCAGTTCTGTTAAAATATATTTGCAGCCATGAATGTCAAGTGGAGTTTATGGTGTGAAAAAATTAGTAGTTCCTGGAGAGAAATTTTCACCACCCCTCAAGTCTGCTTCTTTCTTGTCTAATTGTGTCCAGCTACTTTGGAGGACTAAGGAATATCAATGATTAATTGCCTAGGTGTCAGAGAACTACAGACTTGTAATACATCATTAAAAGTCAGAGATCAGGGAGTCTGAATCAAAATGGGAAGCTCCAAATGAATATATTACTGCTATATACAATTAATGGCACAAGCCAGAAACCATTTATGTTCATAATTTAGAACAGTGACATATCTCTGGTGAAAACATATTTACAGTAATTTTGCATTGCCCTCTACAGGCTTTGTGCAAAAGAGAGGGAGAGATGAATTTATATGCACCAAGGCAGCAACAGAGAAACCTGTCTTTGAACTGTTCTTTCATTTTAATCAGCATGAGCTCTTCTAAATAGCAGAAGGAATTACGAGTAGGTGGAGATCATCTAGGTTACTGAGGGAAAATCACTCTCGGAGGAGTAACTTTGCAACCTGAGGAACAGAGTTTGCCCTTTATGTGATTTGGGGTGACCAGGTCTTCTCTGTTTTAACCCAGGCATGAACAGCAATTGCAAGACTGCTGACCTGAAGACTCTTCACTACCTGGAGGTCTCATTTCCCTTCCATTAGGAATTATACCTGTGTCTTGGAAGAATTCTCTAATGCTGAGTARCATCTTCTATTTTACATCCGTAAGTGTGGGACTCTGTAGCTATTTCAGTTATTTTTGGTGTTGGTTGTAGTCCCATTAAGTTTCTGAGGTTCTTAAATTGCTTCTTAGAGTTTATTTGTCTTATAACTCAGAGTATAAAAGTAGCCCCATAAACATTAATTGAACAGCCATTAAGCAGTATGGCTGTTTGTTTTGGGTTGATAGAGGACATAAAGCTTCATACCCTGTGGTGGAAAACAATTAGATCTGATGATGAACATGCTATTAAATATACTATTACCAGACTTCTATCAGTTTACCTTGACRAAATAGCAGCCAGCTGTAGCAAAGCCATACACAAGTGGTACAAAGTCATATTTTAATTGTCATGTCATAGTCTGTTATAAATATTGTAGAGTTTCTAATGTTTTATGCTAATGACAGTGACTAATAGTAGTCATTATCTCCATTCGTTCTCATAAAAAATTTCCTCAAGAGAGAGTGATTGTTACTAGAACGCTACTTAAAATTAAGCTGGGTTTTTCTAAAATAGTATAAAAACACTTAAATACCAAGAAGCTGGCTAGCTAATTTATTTGGTTTTGAGTGTGTTTGACAACTACAACTGTTAACTATACCATGAGTTGAACTGATAATCCTTTTTAGAAATGTTTTTTAGCATACTAACATACATATATATGTCATTATCTTTGTGTGTTCTCTACTGAGCAGGATACAAGGTGAACCTCATAATGCCGAGAACTTGTGGCCAGAAAAAGGCTGACTTGTCCCTGTAAAGGCTTATTATCAAGAATATTGAATTTCCTCATCCATTTCTTATTTCAGTTATGAATTCTGCTTACTTGACAGGTACAGAGCACTTCATTATGTGAAGGAACAGAAATGCTTAAATGGATGAAGCAGCTATTTACGTCTGATAGGAGCTAAGTGGGACATTAAATTAATGCCAAACAAGTGAGTGCTCATTTTAGTTTCGTTATAAATGGCTGCAGCACCGCAGWAATGTGTTGACTCTCATGTGCTGACAAGTACTATATTTCTTACAAACTTCCCTTAGAACTCAATGTGGAAAGACAAATTCACACTCTGCATGATAAAATCAGCAGTAGATAGATTAATAATTGAATAAGAATCTCTGGGGAAACACCATAGTTTACCAGGATAGTTGGTGACTGACTGGTTTTAAGCAGAGGCTCCTGTCATAAGTRTGCACTTACATAAGCCCAAGGTAAGAGCTGCTGCTGTGGCTTTTGATACCAAATCCCCCTACTACTTTTAGAAAACCTCTGTTTACTTGCATAATAAGCATTTTGCAGATCCATGAGCAGGCTGCCTGTAATTAATCTTGGCAGTGTATGGACTTGCTCGTGCCTGGTTCCTCTGGGACTGTTCTATATACAGTCAAATATACAGTCAAATTCAAGACAGTTCCTTTTCACTCTGTCTTCATTTCCAAATGATGAGTGGCGTATGAGTGAATGAAACACTTCCTTACTGTATGAGAAGGCTCTTACCATATGTCTGCCAATCTTCAGTTCATACATAGCTGAAACATTTTCCTGAAGAGGAAAACCCTGTTGAAAGAGCCAGCTTCTGTCAGAAAAGCATACAGTGGGCCTACCACCATCTGCATTTCCGTCCCTGTAAGCGAAGCTGAGGTCCTTASTGATTCACATGCTCAGCATGCATTCCACATTTTGGGAGAGTATGGGCAGGATGGAAATAAAGGAACTCCCTCTCTTTTGGATAGTAGCAAAGAAAACAAGATTATTTTTAGGAAATTAAAGGAAATATTTGTAGTTTATTCATAGGAAATAAACTGCTTTTTACAGGCACCACCAAGCCCATGAGACAGCTAATAACACCAAAACTGTGATCATTCCTCACACCTTTTGTGTTCAAAGGCATTGGCTGAGCAATGTAACTTCTCATAGACAGCAGTACTGCCTATTGGGGCAAGTCCTCATTTTGTAAAATCAGTAGTTTATTGTACCAATACCAAGAAGGTGAAATCAATCTGAACAATCAGAGAATTTATCCCAGCTAGAGAAAGAGTAGCAAAATTTGGCATACTGTTATTAGATTAAGCCCACGTATCTGTCAGCTCTACTAACCAACTATCCATGCAGACTTCAGTCACTGTGTGAACTGCTGAGGTGGAACTGACTTCTGCATTTGGCCTTTCTTAATTGCAGATTGGATTTGAAGATACTGGATTTGAAAACTTTTTATATAAGAAGTATTTTAACAGTTCCTGTGTCCCTTGAAGCAGGAGAGCGGTAGATAAGTCCTAGAGCTTCATATTCGTAAAATGAAGTAATGTCTCAATGTATTAGACATCCTTAAAATATGCTGCAAGTGACTCAGCTGAGGAARTAACACTACATCTTTTGCTTTGCAGTGTCAAAACACAGAAGCAGATGTTACAGATTTGAGAATATCAGATGAAAGAATAAACATGCTGAAAGAAAGCATCATTTTCAGCGTAGTCTTAGGCGCTTGAAGCAAAGATGTGGAAAGGAAATTGGATTTGCTTATATATTTTTAGTGGGCAGAAGTTGTGTTTCAGAGTAATTATTTTATTTGAGTCACACCTACATAGGAGCTGTCATTGCTGTTACCAGCAAGGACACACAACAGGCCTCACAGCACCACACCATTGCCATCAACTGAGTGTTTGAGGAAAAGACTAGATATATAAAAAAAGTCATGAACTTCTGGATGAGAGGAATTCACCCGAATTACACCAAGAATAGAGGAATAAAAAGCAGCAATCATAGGGGAGGGGAAGATCATGAGTCATTAACCATTGCTTTATGCTTCATATATCTGTGCATGGGGCTTCACCCTATTAACTTCTCTCTACTCATTCTGTTCTTCTTCTGGAATACAATTTTAAATCTGTTCCATTTTTTTCACAAATATTATATGGTCTGATAACTTTGGAATTTTTCTGTGAGTGTATACAAGGCCCTCAAGAGGCACCATTGTTTACTCTTAGCATCTGAAATAGTCATCAGCTTTCACCTCTGCAGGCAGTTATCAGTCCTGTAGAAGCAAACAGATGTTTCCAAAGCCTTCTTGTGAACAAATAAAGCAGTGGCTTTTATCCAGGGTTTTCAGGTCACTGGATGTTCTAAACAGCAAAGCAAGTTAAAAGAACCTCTGTTCTTTTACTATCATGGTAATTTTGCACTTGAATATTTGAGAATTTGTTARTATAAAAGCTATTGGAGAAGATAGGGAGTATGTTTTTTCTACCATTGCCTTGCAAGTAGCAATAATTGGAAGTACTAAAAATTACAGCTTTCTTTCAAATGTGTGCTTATTAAAAAGAGCATCTCGGACTCCAAGTTTTTATCCTTGGTGACTTCCAATCAGATGTAATCCACTTAGAAGTGAACAGGTAATTATCTTATCATCTAATCACTCATACTGATGCCTTTCTAGGCCAGATTTTTTTTTCCAGTGCATTCACAATCTTATTTTCTTCATTTTCTTTTTATTCTTATTATGCTTCTTCTGAAATGTAGAGTTTGGATATGCAGTGGATTGTAAGTTGGCAAATCTGTTGATCATCCATTTGTGTATAGGTACATCTTTATGGAGTTGTTCCCAGAAAAATAAACTGCAAAACTAGATATTTGAGCAGAGAAATGAGGGGGGGGGAAGAAAAACAAAATCCTTTTTTTGCTGAACTTCAGCATGGTTATATAGAAACCGGTAAGTACTGCACTCCCCATATGCGTCCTGCCAAATGCTCATTCCAGAACTGGCCAGAAGTGTTGAGCAGGATGTTTGCAGCAGCAAATGATTGCTGCTTCAGCCGGTGCAGAATTGCAGTTCTTTCCTTGAGAGCTCTTGGGATGACAGACTCAAGAAGAATGGACAGGGTCCCATAGAGGCATAATTGCCCACAGTGGTCACTGTGAGAACCCAGATTATTCCCTGATGGCTGCTACAGCTCTGCAGGACTGGCAAGGATAACATTCATTACAGCACCAGCAGATTTTGATTTCTTTCTAGCTCACCTTAAGAAGAGCAAGGGCAGAGAGTTTCAGGAAATTCTCTTTATTAGAGAATTTCTCCAACAAATTTCTGTTTCCAGAAATTCTTGGTTAGTTTGTTAACTTTTTTAGAGTTTAACAAGTCAGATAGGATGCTAATTATATAGAGTGCTCTCAGCTTTTTCATAAATGATGCATGTCTGGTGTCCCTTCCTTAAACCCAGCAAGTGCTATGCAATTCTGCTTCGTCTCCTTTTCCTGTTTGAGAAAGTAGAACTCACTTTTCCAGTCTCTCATTTGACACATGCAACCTTTTTGATCAAGAAAGCTGCATCTCTTTTCCCTTCTACTTTCCTGTCTACTGAAGGAGATTTTCCACTCTCTGTGCTGCTCATCAGTTCCCTAGTATTTCTTAGTCCAATTAGCGTGCTATATTTCTTCCATTCTGTCTCTTTAATACTTAAGTAAAATGCAAAGTGTGTGCTGACTTCAGAATTGAAATGTCTATTTTGAACTTTACTCTGCAGAAACTACTTACTTTGGGCATTAGTTTGAGATATTGGATAACCRAGGCCCAAACCCAAGCTAGGCAAAAACTTACTAATGTCAGAGATTTGTAACAGTGACTTGGTACTGGCCACCAAGTCGGGGTTCACAACTAGGAGTTTGAGACGCACAGACCATCCCCGTGAGGAATGCCTGTGCCTCTGGGAAAACTTCCTGCCTAATCTCAGGAATTTGATGGCTCATTTCTGCCTTAAAGGATGGAGATTTACATTACWTTTCATTCATTTTTAAGCAAAATGCTATTTTAGTGTTTCACTCTCTTGTAAAAGTTCCACACTAGATTTCTCTAAATGTGAAAGAGAGGCTTGGTGGGTTTCTTATTTTTTTACAGGGAAAAAAGGGTTTTGTGGACTGTTACTTTCTTTGACTGTGCAAAAGAACAGATGCCTTATGTTATCTCTTATAACCCTTTCTTTTTAATTCCCTACTGTTCACCTTTTTTGCTAAACTAACACATGGACCTTTTAAACCTGTCTCTTTTTTTCACTTCAGTATATTTGATGTTTGTCTCTGAATTCTGATGCTTTGCCTTTTTTTTTTTTTTTAATAAATAGAAGGGTTTTTGTAAAGAAGGAATATTGACATGACAGTTTCCATTTGAGTCAACAGCATCTTTACAAATCTTTTAGACAGAGATTCAAGCTGTACATTTGGGTTATAAAGTAATCTAAGATTCTAATTGCACTTTGCATTTCAAGTGTTTACTGTTTCTTGGACATCTCTTGTGTATTGAACTGGTGTTTCTATCAGGATGGCCACAGTGATTTATAGATATTTTTGATGAATACAATGAATTTAAAATCCAGGAATTTGTATTAGTAGACAGACTACTAAAGGATATCATCCTGCATCTTGTCAAAACACGGTGTGTTTCTCAGTTGCCTTCTTAAATCTGAGCACTGAAATTTCTTAGCAGTCTTTTCAGATCTATCTTACTCATGGTTTTGTTTTCTTCCTGTCTTGATATTTCATTTTCAGCCATCAGCCATGTTCTTGTTTTAATTAATATATATTCATCATCAATTTTGATATCGATACCAAGGTGCTGTAATATCAGTCTTATAATATGGTTTACAAATCATTCTTATTCCTTGTTGGAAAACATGTTCACTGCTTAGGACTCATGCAGTTCATTTATAAAAATCAGAAATAAATCTCTCAGGACATTTCTTTCCAACACACCACAAAATAGAGTGTAAGCACTAGGAGACTTTTTCAGCCTCTTCAATTATGTCACATAATGACAACACTGGAATGAATATCTGGAATTAGGSGGGGAAAAAAAGCTATCTATGTCCATCGTTCATGTGCTCCAGCACTCATCTCTCTTGTTTACTTATCTGTATCCCAGAAATATTATTTGYTGTGATGTGGATTTTTTTTTAGCATTCTTATAAATATAAATTGCTGAGTGAAGAACAGCTATTTTCTAAGTATTTGTGCATTGTGAGCAGGCATTCAGCTTATGAATTCAGCTGGAGGAACAAGCTGTAGCTCATGCTATATCTAACAATACGGTGGCAAGAATTCACTTCCAAGAAAATAACGTATGTGTTTCAGATGTACACAAACATAGGCACAGGACTGAGAACGAAAGAGCAGCAGTTTCTACCTCATGGAAATTGGTTGGTACAATTAATTCTGACTTTTTTCTCAAGTGTAGAAAAAGAATGAGGGGCAACACAGAGTAAACAGCCAATATGTAAGTTTATCTGAATGAATTGTATTCAACAGGACAGTTAATGATAAATGTAATGACCCTGAAAAATAAATATGGGAACTCATTTAGACTTTTTCCTAAAACCACAAAGAATAATCTACAGTAAGCTATAAAAAGTGTCATTAAGTCATCAATATTTATGAATAGTTTTCTCTTGTGGTTTCTGAGATTCTGTTTCTCCCAGGATTGTGAATGACTAGATGCATCTCCAAGAACAGATATGGAAATTTCCATGAGTCAGACTGACAAAAAAAGAAGAAGAAAAAATCATACCTTACTGCAGTAATGACAAATCCTCTTCACCTCAGTGGGTCTAATCACAGCTGTAGAGATTGTAAGATTTCTTTCTAAAATTGTACTATGCTAAATATAACAATATAGAAGACAGTTTAATAAATGAGTTGCATCAAGTCATTTCAGTACTATTCTCTGGAGTGTAGTCTGTGTACTAATAAAAATCTCCATCATTTTTATTAATTCCATTAAAGTAGCACACCACCTCCAAATATTTATGGATATCAAGCAGACTCGCTTCAGGATAAGCCCTTCATACACACCAGAGGTACCATTTTCTGAAAGGTAAACAAGTGGCATTTGCTGAGCCATAATCCCTAAATCAGAAACACAAATGTTTGGATTAACAAAAAACAGAAAAACTCATTCTTCCTTGTTGACCTCCCATTCCTTACCTTTTTTGTTTTCAGTGTTAAGTGCATGACGAACGTTTTTTATTCCGTGCAGGAAATTAAGGGTGGCTATTTTGATAGTAACTACCCAGGACAGCAGTACTYAAGGTTAGGGCAATCCAAACTTTCCCTGATGCTCACTGACTTCAGGAGATTTGACGTCAGGCCTTCAATTTGCTGCTGCAGATATGAAGCAGCTCAGAGTCAATATTCTTGAGAATCAGGAAAATGCAAAAGGATACTTATTTTATCCCTTTAAAAGARTGGATGGCCCTGATACAGTAAAAAGTTGGGAAAATACAAAGCTTAAGCATATGTGAAGTGTATCTGAAATCTGTGTAACTGAAATCATGCACCCCTGTGGCTGCATGTTTAATAATCTTTGCTTTTTAGCACAGACCTGGAACTGTTGTCTTTCACATTTGCAGTGCATATGTGCATAATATAGGCTGCAGGTGTACAGAACAATGCATATGAACTAAGRGTGTGATAGCGAGTCAGCTGCTTAAACCAAACGCCAAGGGAATGAAGTTTGAAGTCCTTTTCCCAGCATATATATGTCCAGATCTTTTTTCCTCCAAGGGATTAGATGCAAAGAGGATGAGATCCAGAAAYTGGAGAAGGAAGAGGGATATGTGCCCAGCAATAGTGAGGACCCTGGCACTCCTGCGCCCAGTGTTATGGGAGCTGCCAGGGCTCCTGGGCTCTGGCCAAGCCAGTCAGAAATGGAGTGATTAGGTCAACCCATTGGCCTGGGAGAGTCACCTGGTGTTACCAGTGATAAGATGACAAAACATTCACATTTACACAGGAAATACACTTTAAACTTCCTCATATTTCCTCACAACTACACAGTGACTAGATTCTAGATTTTGTTGTTATTGTTGCAGAGATCTGTTTTGTTTGGAAAGTCTTTTTGTATTTAAGCAAGAATCAGGAAGCGCTTGGATTGTCCACATAAAAGAGATCAGTCCTTCAAAACAACTACAAAATGATAAAAATTAAATTTTTAATTGTTTTAATAAATCCATTTCATGCTCTATTTCATTGTTTTATTCATTTCTAAACATCACATTAGATTTCATTATACTCTGTAAAAAGAAAGAGAGCTTTTCAATTTTGTTATTTAATAAAATGCATGGGTTAGGGAAGGTGTTTATTATAATTTCCTGCCTATACAAATAGCAGATTTTTTTATTATTATTATTCTTAGCTTGTCATAAGAAATCCCAATTTCTAGGTATCATAAAAACATGCCCTGATGTCAAGATTCACCTATTTCCCTTTTCAAAATACAGCATAGTTCTATATGACTTGGCTTTAATGCTGGAGTAAAGCAAAAAGTGTTTATTGCCATGCTGAATAATGAGCTATGTACATTTCACCTGCTGGGCATGTAGTCTGTGCCTTCAACACGAGGAAAAGCTATTTCCAATGGTTATGACTTTTAAAGTTCATAATTTGAAATAATCTGTGTACTGATGTCATTGGGGGGAAATCTAATTTTTCTGCATCCTTACTCATACCATGAAAGGGCCTGGGAAACAATAGCAGAGCATATTTTATTTTGGCTGCAACCTTGAGGCTAGAACTGACTTGGTACAGTGCACTTGTATTTATAGTTTATACAGTGCTACATTTGATCCTTGATTTTATTATTCCACTGTCAAATAATTCATGTCCTTCCAATTTTTGTCACTCTGAGTTACTTTATTCCCTTGGAACAAGGCCAGAAAAATAAGACTGGGCCTCTTTAATCATACCTGTTGAAAGACTGTGTGAATTGAGAACACTGCCCTGTCCATGGATGACAGTGTGTGCATATATCCATAAAAAAACCCACTGACCTGTGCCAGGCAGACAGAATACAAATATGCCTGAAAAAATTACCATTTGATTTATCACTTGGAAGGCTCCTGGCCAATAAGAATCCTGGCAAAGACTGTCCATAGCTTGGGGTTGTGGTTAGGGTTTTTATTAGAAAATCTTTTTATTTTTTTACCAGAAAAAAAA